GTTGACTTCCCTCCTCAAGGGAAGTAGTAGTGAAACAACTTCACATGTGGCTGAGGAGGTTTTTTTTCAGTGGAAGATACTCATTTTACCTGAATGACTCAAGGAGTTGTACTTCAGTTATAGAATCTGAATAGTTTATACTCAAACTTCAGTTTTACAGCAATATAGGCCTTGCAAGCAGTCTTAACTGTTCATTTTTTTATGGTCGTAGTGAACCTAATATAATACAGAGGCTTCAAATTCCTTTCCAAAACCAAAATGAATATTGTATGTAAATATTAGCTGGCAATGAGTTGGAGAGGAGTCTGGAGTCAAAGGTGTGGAGAACCGTGGAGAGCAGACTAAGGAGAGTTAGAGGCTCAGCGCTGATGGAGAAATTAGGGAGAGGCAGAGGTATATTGCAGTGGAAAGAAAAAAGGGTCTTCTGGTTCTATGTTTTCCTTTATACTTCATGCTGGTCATCCAGCCGACTCTGAATCCCCTCAAGCTAGGATTTGGTGATCCTGATCACAACATAAGTTTGACACCTTGATGACTATGGGATAAAATATGATTGTGCTTGATACACAGGGGGAAGGGAGGAAGAAGCACTGGCTACAATAGCTTGAAATAGGTCTGAAGTGGAGCTTTGGTTCATGACTTGTGGATTTAAATGAAGCTTGGGACTTAACTTGAGTGTATGACTTTGGATACATAATTGGCAGGATTTCCCTGCCCATGGCAGGGGGGTTGGAACTAGATGATCTTTGAGGTCCCTTCCAACCCTAACCATTCTATGATTCTATAAAGAAAATGGTCTTTGATTTGGTGCAGCTTCGCCAAAATACACCCAACCAGTTCTCTCCTTCATTGTAATGCTTTTTTTTATGCAAGTATATTGAACAAAACAGATGCAAAAAACTTTGTATTAACAATTCTATAAGCTTTTTCCAGCTCCAGAATGGCAGAGTTAGGGTTATTTTGGCATGTAGTATAACTCCTTGCTACATTGCTTTCAGCAGCACTCAAGATTCTTGAGTGGTACATAACTTCTGTATTACTGATGCCTTCTACCGAAATCTTCTGGTACCGTACTACCGAAAGGACAGAACTGAAATCAGCAGCTTGCTTAACTCAGTGACTGGATGATGTTGAGCTGCTATGTCATTCTGAAGAAGCAGGAGAAGTTCAGAATGCTTGTACCTGTTTTATACATGAGTGCATATGTGTTGGAAACCCATGTGGAAAGAAGAATGTGTAGCAGTGTTGATTGCTGGACTACTTGACTCTTCTGGTTACGCATCCTCCTTTTTGAGGCAGGTGAAAACACAATACATACCAGGGATTTGGTGAGATGAGGTTGGGGTAGATGACTGAGACAAAGCTTGTCATCAGGTTGTTACAATACTGTTATGTGTTTGGTAAAGATCAGAGACATTCGTTTGGACCAGGAGCTAGAGAGAACATTCAGTGTTAATTGCGACAATATTAGTAGGGTGCCTGTGCTTAAATAGATCTAAGGGCTGACCTCAAACATTTTTACCAAGATGCTCAAACTCGGGGAGCTTTCTGGTGTTTCTCATGAGGCAAAAACTAAAATATGTCTGCTGTTGGTTTCCAGGTGATAGAAAATTATCTTTGTTATGTAGGCATGAACAGGAACAAATGTGATAGTTTGAGATGCCTGGAATCAAGATCTGTATTTGTACTAGTTTTTCCTTGTCAAGAGAGTGCTGGTTTCCTTTTGCAAGGAAAGAAGGCAATATTTGCAAGGAGAAGACTGGCAATATTAGCAATAAAACTGATCTTGGTACACTGGCAGGAAACGTACTTTCACCTTCAGAGTTCCAAGTTTGCCTTCCTTTCCATGTAACCTAAGGATCTGCCAGCTCTCACTGCTTTATTTGGATAATGTTAAAAAAAAGCACATACTAGATTTCAAATCTACCTGATTCCACGGAAGCATTAATCAAACCTAGAAAAGAAAGCAAGTTTATTCTAGCAGAGTAAAAATGTAGTTATTTATTGCAAAATTAGAAAGTTATAGAAAGGTAAAGCCAACAAAATATGCTCTCAGTAGATATGTGTATGTGACACTTGGAGTTCTTTTGTAAATGTGATTTGAGGTCTCCATGTTGTGTTGCAGTTGAAGCTGATGGAATGACTCAAGAGCATTTCAGTCTTTGAATAATGTGCTTCAGAACAGAAGTCTAAAATTAGTAAGGAATGAGTTAAAGCCCTTAGTCTTACAGGCTGCTTAGGGCAACTGTTTCTCTGAGACTGCTCTTGTTCTTTTTGTAATAGTGAATCACATTTTTTTTAATTCCTCTCCTTCTGACTCATGACCTTCAAGGCCATTGTGTTTAGTTGCATGTGTTTTTAATGACAGGTTCATCACGAAGTCTTTAAAACTGTTAAAATGCTTTTAATAGACATTTATTTAAAAATACATGGCATACTTGTGTTAGTTCTAAAACTAGAAGATGTCAGTGTCTAGCAGCCGTTGCACAAAAGTATCCTAACTTCCATTTCAGGGAAGTAACTGGTTGATAGTTAGACGTGCCAGAGACAAAACAGAGAAAGGCATTACTGGTTGTCATGGGGTTTTTAAATACTACTTGGTTAGAAATCGTGCAGAGAACTAGATAGCAGGATTGAACTGACTCAAGATTTTAGGATTGAGGAGGAAACTTTTATTGATTGAAAAATCCAGACTGTCTCCAATCTTGAAACTTTCTTTTCTTGCCGAAGCCTGAATGAAACCACATAAATCTTTCCGACATTCCTGTACCATTCACTAGCCATCCTTAGGCACACCTCTTGTTATTTGTAACTCTTACAGTTGATTAAGGACATAGAACCTAATCTCCTGATTTAGGTATGTGGATAACAGCTCTCAGCAATGTGAGATAAATTTCTGCCTTCATACATTCTTTTCCTGTTAACTCCCTGTGGAGTTGCCCAGGGCCCGCAAGGAAGAAGTGTTTCACGCTCTTCTCTATGAGATTCTCTTGAGTCCCTCAGGTAATACTTTCATGCTGGTTCAGAGAGGAGAATAATATTAATTCACCAACTCTTACTATGCTCAGACTTGGGGTATCATGTGGATCAGCACGTTGTTGGTGAGTAGAACTAACTAGCAGAGCCTAGTTGGTTGTGGGTTTGTCATGTTTGTCTTCAGCTTTGCTGCTTTGTGTCTCCTAATGCACCCACCGGGCACGACAGCGCGTGATGGGTGCTGGGTGGGCACTGCTGGCGAGCCCACTGGGGTGCCTGACAGGAGGCATGAGTTGGGCCTTTCCCCCATAGCACCTTTTTTCTTTGTCTCTTCGTGCCATCCTCAAAACTTCCAGAACCATAACCCTGTTCGGAAAATCTGATCTTCTCCTGGGTCCGAGTCTGGCAGATGGGTATGATGGTTCTTACGGTGCGTGGCCACAAGTGGGATGGTTGTGTAAGGTGAGGCTGAGAAAGAGTAACTGGCATTGAGATTAGGAGTGTTACTCAACTAATAACTGGAACCTTTAGTGTTTGATCCGCAGCAGACCCTCTGCACCTTACGGAGGGAGGAAGTGCTATGTACAGAAGTGAAAATTCCCTTTGGCATGGTAGCAGAGCTACCAGCTTGATGAGATGTCACAGCCAGAACTGTTTCAACTAAAGGAGTTTGTTTTAAGTATTTCCAGCAAATAACTCTTTCTTGTAGTAGGCAGAGAGGTGGGAAAGTCTGGAATGCTGCTTTGAGTTTTGAAAATCCCCACTTGATGTAATGTTATAAATTAGGCAACTATTTCTTTTGACATAGCTTCTCAGTAGTGAATCTAATGCAGCTGGGAGGGAAAAGGGCTTTAAGTTTTCAGTGGGAAGTCTTGTTACAGGTAGGTAAACTTGTGAATCTAATAAGGTAGCTGTGACATTACAGCTTTAGCTTTCTGGCTAGGAAAACCCCTCCTTCCTCTACTTTCTCTCTGAATCAAGCTTAGTTTCACTTTTTCTCAGAGATAGAAGTGCAAAGTAAGCTACAAGGCCATGACCTATTAAGGATGTATAGCAGTGTTGGTATGTGCAAAGTAAGAATTATTCAAATAAATATAGCATAGACCAGTGAAAAGGTGACGTTTTTAACAAGTACATTTGTTCGTAATTTATTTTGTAATACTGAGGTTAGATGTTTCTGAGACAATCCTAGAGATGCTTCTAGACAAAGCGAAGTAAAACTCTTGTCACAGGATTTTTGGTTTCTGCTAGTCAGTCTTGACAGTATCTTACCTGTTTTGGTGGCAGTGTGGTGCTTAAAGAATTGTTTTTTTGAATTAGATGCTTTTTCATATGGATTGAGTGCTTTTGAGTTCTAGTATGATAGAAAAATCCTTTGGTTCCCAAAAGAATCTCGAAGTATTTCTTGACAAGTCCTTGTGAAGTCTCGTTACGTTTTCAATATTTAGTATTGAAGAATCTTTAAGTATATCAATGTTTAATGTAATTTAATATTAAATATCTGATTTTTTTTTCTCTTTTTGTTCACTTATCCAAGTGTAATTGTGCTATGAATTCAGATTCAAACTTAATTGGATGTCTCTCCTCATGGTATTCACATACTGTCTCCAGCTGCAGCTAAAATTCCCACACTAACAAAGAAAAGACCTGAGGTGCATGTTAGAACTTCAGCAACTTCAAGATCAGATGTGTATAACTTGCCTGTTTTTTTTTGTCTGGCATCCACATCCCACCTCCCTGTGTGGAATGGGTATAGGGCCTTGAACAGTAAAGATGCATCTATTGAAGTTTACCTTGTATTTGAGAGTTTAATAAAGTAAATAAAGTTTACTAGTAAAGAACCCTTTATATCAAGTCTGCTAGTAAACTTTATATCATTTACTACGCCTGAAAAAAACTCAGATATTTTCCTACAACTTTGCCTGCTGATCTTAACTGAAGAGGCCCAAATTACTATCAAGCCAGAGTGCCTAAATTTTTACTGTGATAACTGACTTTTTTTTTTCTTTTTTCCCTTCTAACAGGAACAGGAAATACAGTAGTGATAATGGTTGGCTATCCCAAAGGAATAGAGATACTGGAGCCAGTACGAAGAGGGATTCCAGTAAGAATGACTATTGGTGTTGGCACACGACATGTGCAGGAATATATTAGTGGTCAGTCCGTTGTGTTTGTAGCTATTGCCTTCATCACCATGATGATTATATCGCTCGCTTGGCTCATATTTTACTATATACAACGTTTCCTGTATACAGGATCACAGTTTGGAAACCAGGTAATTGGAGGTGATGATGGTTTACAGTATTTACCGTCTTCTCACGTCAAATCGGTTGCCTGACTTTGCTTGTTTATTGAAGCATTCTTGAAGATCTGCGCCTTCTTGCTGCTGCACTATCTCTGAGTGCTACTCAGTAATGGTTAGTGAGGCTAATCAGCAGTGTGCTGATTGGCATCACAAGTTCAGCTAGTTGTAATTATTTGATACTCGTATGAAGTTGTGGGAAGTATATTTAGCCACTTGTCAACAACTGAGTAAAGGCAACTTCTTGTGTGATTTGTCACCTAACTCAACTGGCTTCATTTTGACACTAAAATTATTTTCGTTCTTCAGTAATTTTTGTTCTGGAAGTACTAATTTCCCTAACCACATTTTTTTTTTCTAATGGAGAGAGACTATGGTAATTTTTTTTCTTAAGACCCAAAAGTAATTAGGTCTAAAATTTTGGTTCTAAAGCTTTATGAAAACTGCTCTTGATACCTGTAACCCTACTAGTCCACTGCAGAGTACCAAATGGCAGCAGACTAGAAGGAGCATGTGTGGTGAGATTCAGATCTTCTGGACTGTCTGAAGTGCTGAGAGTGGTGGGAATACTGGAAAGATCAGGAAGGAAAAACTCTGCTCCTTAATTTGCCTCTTCCAAATACCTGTTCTTTGATAGGTTAAAAAAGTCAGCTTTACTTTTTTCCCCTGAGGGAAGTACTTCATTATAGAATAATTTAGGTTGGAAAGGACATCTGGAGGCTATCTCGTTCAAACCCCTACACTCAAGAGAGCAACTTGCATGGAGTTGTTGAGGACCTAGTCCAGTAGAGTTTTCACAGTATCGTAGGATGGCACTTCCCTGTGCTTTTCAACTCTTGCAGATAGGTTAGGTTCCTTCCATGTTCATCAGCAGCTCTACCACAGTCCTCTACTAACAGTGAAAAAGAAAGTTGCGCTTGTTTTTCTTTGCAAGCAGTTCTCTTTTTTTTTCTTTTTATCCTCAGTTCAGAACAAAAAAAAAATGTTTCAAATGACTGCTTATCACATGGACTTAGCCTGCTTTCTGTTTGAACATGTAGTTTCTAGCATTGGGGGAGGAGGGAAGGGGATTTTTTTTTTTTCCCTTGAGAAGTCTGAGCTTTGAGTAGGACTTATGGACTCTTCTAGGAAGAAAAATTCTCTTTTCAGTAACTGAAGATGAAACTTCTGTTATTGGTTAAATTTGCAGTCTACTTGAAATGTTAGTTTCCCAGAGTTTTTTTTAGTAAGCTTTGAGTCTTAGAATTTAAATTCTGAGAATACTTTTCATGAAAACAAAGTTTTTGAGAAGTATTTATAGAAAAAGGGGTGTGTTCTTGTGTTGTAACAGTTGTTTGGTGAAGAAAGTTGCTTCTTCCTGTTCTGTTGGTTTTAGAATGGTTCATGCTAAGGGAAGTTCAAATGCATTGTAAGGAGTTTTAAGAGTGTTTTTTTAGGTTGAATATGATGTTTTCTAGAAATATGTACCACAAACTCTTAATATATTTTGCCATTGGACTTGTCATCTGAATGCTACTTAAATGAAATTGTGTAGCATTAGGAGGTTATGCCACTTTCTTCAGTTCTCCTTCTTTTAAAGCAGCCATTGAAAACAAGAATATATAAAACTATGCAAGTTTGAAAATGTTGTGAATATCTTGGTCAAGATATGTCATTAGAAGTCTTAAAAAAATTTTGGTAACAAAAAGCTGCTTTTCTAACTTGAATGTTGTTTTGCTTGGCTTATTGACTCCAACATAATTAAAACTTGGGAGTTAAGTATGCCGTGTTTTAAAGAAAGTTACTGTGTAGCTGCTAAGTGAAGGTGAAGACGGATATCTTAAGATTTATTCTAATGTCAATTAGCAGTAAATCTTTGGCAGACCTCCTTACTACTGAAGATGAAACAGGACTGTGCAGAAAACCCTGAGCTGATACAGAAGATGGAATAGACTGCTGCTACTGGTTGTCTGTCCATTCTTGAGAGAACTTTCAGACTAACTCTTTTTAAATCAATTAAAAAAAAAAGTCCCAAATTTCAATACTATAAGTTTGTAAAATGATATGTGTCATTATAATTATTGAGAAAAGCTGCCATTACTTTTTTTAATTCCTTTATGGTGTTTCATCAGTGAGGGCTGCTGCTAGACAGATCAACATCTTTTAATTGAGAGTGTTCAGTGTCTCAGTTTCTGGCAGTAGCTGGCACTTTGTCTCGGAATACAGTACTGCTTTCTTTGCTTAGAGGGGAAGCAGGAATAATTAGGACTGTTACTGCACAGAAGTCCGATGTGGTGTCTCATGTCTGTTCAGCCTTTCTTGCATCTCCTTTGCATGACGTGTCCTTTCAGTGCAAAGCTTTGTCTAACGTGTGAGACGCTGTGTAACTGAGGGGAAGCATTAATAGCTACAAGCAGCCTTTTGACCTGGTGGCCAGCTGTGGGTTGCTCGGCAGGATTCCACCTTCTCTCAAGCTTGCACAAAACCTACCCTGTGCTTGCTCGTGGACTTGCCTAACTAGAAGGTCTGGTTATATGGCTGCTGTTTTGGCTCTGATTGCCTCTGAAGCCAGCGTTAGTTTCAGTTTTCCTGTGCAGGCAGTCAGGATACAAGGCTACATATGTCAGCTTGGTCCGCATAGTTCTGCACTGGTTGAACTCATTGTAAGAGCAGCACGCTTCTAGATAACGTTTGCTGCTGTGCCCTGAGAACGCAAAACTTGCAGTTCTTCAATGTTTGCTGGCTGGAAGTATTTTGTAAACAAATTAGAACTGAATCTTTAAATGCATTCAGAGGACTTGGTTATCCACATGGAAACTACTTAAAAGCTTTGAACTGTAGCTCTTAAAACTAACTTGTGTACTAATACTTAAAAATCTTTATTCAAGGGACATAGGAAAGAAACCAAGAAAGCAATCAGCCAGCTTCAGCTGCATACTGTGAAACGTGGAGAAAAGGTAATTCAGTGGCTCTGTTGTTGTGTGATTTAATAACTGTGGTAATGTCATAATAGAATTTAAACTAAAATTCTCACAATGTAATTGCAGTGTGACTTACAATTTTAGGTTCATTTTAGGGCCTTTGCAGAATTTAAAACTGAGGAGTCAAATTTGAACTACTTATGAAATGTAAGGCTGTTTTGTTACAAATAAACAACAAAGTTGTGGGAGACTACAGGGCTGATAATATAAAGATGAGGAAAAACAAATGTGTTTTCAGCACTTGAAAACATCAACAAGTGGATTGCAAAATACTTCCTAGGTCCTATTGATTGCACAGATCTTACAGATGATGTAATGTTTTGTTTTCTTAAAAGAACATCCATCTTTTTATTGATCAGAAGGCCTTAGAAATCTAAAATGCTTTGAAAGATGAAACACTTGTTTTGTCTTTTGACATACAATACATTAAGGAGCTGTAGACTAGAAGCGTACATTTTTTAGAAGTACATTTCTATGTATTAAAGCTATTCTAAAAATTAAAACAGCTTTCAGAAAGTTAGCTTTGACAGCATATGTCCTAAACTCATAGCTCAATTTGAATAATTGAAGTAGAAAAAGTCAAGGTTTTGAAAGAAAGTATTATTTAAGTTGCAATTTCAGGCAGCTCTGATCCTAGGTGCTAAATTAGGTTCTCACTAGACTTCTGCTACTACACAGGCTTTTGTTTTCCCCAACTCTTGTCTTATTTGATTAGTTTTTACTTAAGGACTGATTTGCTCAGAGATTAAAAACAAGATTAGTTTTTTTAATCCATGAATAAAATTGAGGCGAGAACAGACTTTTACATGTCAGAACTTTAAAAGTTGTGGTTCAACAGAAGCTGTTCAGCTCAGGGCATATGCTGCGGAGAGTATGTCCTTCATTTAATAAATCAGTTTTCAAATTAAACTGTCTTTGAACTTGCCTTTTTTCTCTTACACATTTAGCGTGTTGAAGTAGCATTTTACGAGTATTTGTTACTTTTAATTATATTCTAAATCCCATCAAAAAGTAATCTGTTTCAAGCTGTGAACAGAGAGATATTCATACTTCTGTTCATACAATGGTGAGATCAGAGATCAGGAAAGATGGAATTGAACCAAAACTTGTGTAAAGCAGTATCAAATCGTAACATCAGTATAGGAAGAAATGGATTTAAATGGGTCATGATGAAACCTATGGTGAGAACCACAAGGAAGATGTTGACTGCTTTTAAGTTGATGTTCTGTAAACCTCTAAAAAGGATTTGTATTATGAAATTTTTGCAGTGTACCAGATACTTCCTTCCCATCAATACACCCTTGACTAAAATAAAATGGGAGAATTTTATGTTGTTATACAGTATGCTGGTTGTAAGCATGAATGCCATGTTAGTTAAGCAAAGTAGAACGAGATAAGGTTTAATCTTTCTATTAAAATAAAGAGTTTTTTGATTTGGTAAATCATGTCTTTTAATTTGATGTAAATGGAGATTTTTT